GAAGAGCAAGAAGAGGAGGAGGAGGAGGAGGAGGAGGAGGAGGAGATTGGATCTATACCCTGCCCAAAGGTGTCTCAGAGCGGCTTACAAGCTCCTTTCCCTTCCCCTCCCCACAACAGACACCCTGTGAGGTAGGTGGGGCTGAGAGAGCTCTTTCGAGGACTGCCCTTGAGAGAACAGCCCTTATCAGAGCTACGGCTTGCCCAAGGTCATCCAGCAGGCGCAAGTGGAGGAGTGGGGAATCAAACCCGGCTCTCCCAGATTAGAGTCCACGTACTTAACCGCTGCACCAAATTGGCTACACCAAATAGGACACAAGTCCCCCAAAGCTATATGAAAATGGATAACATAACAAACGTTTCTGACCTTTGTTTTCTTTGAATTTAACATTTACAAAGAAAACTGAAAACAAACAAACACAAGAGAGATTTGAATTTGTTTTAACTAGCAACCAATGGCTTTGGCACCACAGACCTGTTCTAGTAGCAGAGGTGCTTTCCTCTGGCGCAAGGAAGAAGCCTGGCTTTACACGGCTTATTTTGGGCACACGAGTCTTCCAGTGGAAGTCAATAAATGTCATTCGTACGTTTATATTTGGGCAAATGCTTAAATTATTGTTATTATTTTCATTCTATGACATTACTGACATTCTAGGATGTCAAATCCCTGGATCAGTCAGCAGAGGGGGCTAATAGTTACAGACCCCCCTCCCCCCACATTTCCCTCTCCTCTGCAGACCTGACCGACCCTGCCAGCCCCAGGAAAGCTGATTATCAGGGCTGGCGAATCCATGTGGACCAGCAGCCACGCAGACTCGGGCTGCTGCACTGAGGAGGGGGAAGGCAGCCAAAACTGTCCTCCTGCGTCAGCAGAGCTGGCTCTTGCGGTGGTGGTGGTGGGGGTTTTGCTGCCCGGCTTCCCTGGAAGCCTTGGGAATCAACTTTCCCAGGGTGGAAAGGAATGTTTGACGGGAGTGTGGGAAAGATCCATGACGCTTGCACCTACAAATCATAGGATCCAGCCCATTTTGATTTTCCATTTTTAAAAGTAAAGCATTAAGATGGGGCGGATCTATCCTCTCTTCCTCCGGATTGCAAGACTAGATCTAATGGGTGGAAATTACAAGGGAGTCGTTACCGGCTAAATATCAGGAGAAACTTCCTAACTGTAAGAGTGGTTGAGCAGTGGAACAGTCTGCTGGGGGGGGATGCTCCTTCGCTGGACGTTCTCAAGCGGAGGCTGGACGACCATCTTTCGGGTATGTTGTAGGGCTATCTTTCGGCTATGCTCCTGCAGAGTGCAGGGGGTTCGACTAGATGACCTGCAAGGTCCCTTCCAACTCTAACATTCTATGATCCTATGATTCCATGCAGTCTCACTCTGAAAAATCTGTCTGAAAATTCAAAGAAACGGCTACTCACAAAGTTACAGGCATCCCTGTATCCCGTTTCATCTGCAATAAATAAGATAACTTGATAAAAGACAGCATTATCTGATTGGTAAAATGTCTACCTCACTAAATGCTTCCGCTGGCATGCTTAATCACAAGTAATTCCCATACTGCTCTCTGTACACCTGAATTGTGCATACACCAGGAGCAGGGCAGGAATTCAACAGGACAAAGAATGGCAGTCCCTAAAAACCCCGTCCCTCTCCCCCCCAGCACCATGACAGCTAGTTTGGCCACACGCCAGGGCTATTTTTGAGCAGGAACACACAGAAACGGAGTTCCGGCTGGCTTCAGAGTTGGCCACACCCACTACAGCTAAAACCTCTGTGTGCGTGGCTACAGAGGGAAGGCCTGGAGAGCGACCCCCCCCCCCCGCGCCTCTCAGGCAGGTGAGCCCTGGAAGGATTTAAATGCCTCCCCATGCCATCCCCAGCCTGTCCAAGGGCCGGCTTGCCCAGGTGCACCGCAGCCGCAGGGCGCCCTGGCAAGCCAAGGGAAGGCATTGGGTGTGGCCTAATATGCTAATGAGCCATGCTGTCAGGGGTGTGGCCTAATATGTTAATGATTCCCTGCTGTTGGGTGTGGCCTATTATGCTAATGAGTTCCTGCTGGGCTTTTTCTACAAAAAAAGCCCTGGCCACATCCCAACAAACAATGAACATCCCATCACCTTTCATTCCACATTCACAATGCATTTCTTAAATCTTATTGTGCTACTCAACTCTGGAGAATGCAGAGCCCCCCCCCAAAAAAAAATGAGCTCCAGTCATGGTAGGGATGCCTAGCTAGCTCTGGGAAGAAAAAGCACACGGTGACTGTTATGTCCGCTGACCGCCACTAGGCGACAACGTATTTTACAGGAACTTGGACCCCTAGGGACAATAGGGACTCGGATCCTGAAACCTCAAGCGGTCACCAATAGGAACCTTGGCGGGAAGTTTAAACCCACCAATGGGACCTGTGGGTCGTCCACAGAGACTGTATATAGTGCTAGTAAACATGTGCTGAATGTCACTATGTTTCCTGATCATTTGATGCGTCCAACCCACTACACAACAATAACGATCTGCTGTGCTGTTTAACGCTCTACTGGAAGATGATCAGGTGGCTCCAGCAAGGAGAATCCCAGAAGGAGTCACACAGAATAGCACAGGGACCAGGTAAGTCTAAGCAGACATTTCCACTACCCACACAGGCAGGTCCTGTAAAAACAGCTGGTTTTAGAACTCCATTTTCTTACTTACTTTAAAACCGTGAATTTCCACAAGGTCTGTCTATGGAAGTTGCTATCATCTCAGTCCAAATTCAGAGAAGACAGGAAGATACTTGGCCCCAATGACATTATTCTTATAGAGTTAACAGATCACTAAGGATGCTTATAGTCTTTTAAGCACCGCGTCAGGAGCGGAATCTTGCCACTGAACTCACTTCAGAAAAGGCATGCCATGGTACAGATCTTCATGTTTCAACATCCCCTTTTTAACGTCTGAACTCACCCAGAGATAACCTTTTCTGTCTTGAATTTAATTCTGTGTAGACAATGCAGACATAGGGATAGGGGAAAAGAAACGCATCACCACGCTTGAATCTCAGGTCTGACGCCTTTTCCCATTTACTTAAATCTGAACGATGTCGCTAAGGCTCAAGATTTGGCAGCAAACAGGAGATGAAAAGGGTGTGAAAAGGGAGTTATTCTCTGTACATTGTATTCAGTGCAGACAGAAAGTGCAGAGAGAAAGACAGCGGTGACCCCCAGTAATACTTGCGAGAAACAGCGGTACGGGAGTGTGGAACTGGAGACCATCGCCTTTCACGTGGGAGGAGGACAAGGGCATCTCTACATCGGAGGGGGTCTGTCCTCTGGAGGAAAGCGCTTCTGCTGGCAGGACACACCCACAGGATCCAACCCAAACATCTTCTACATTCCGCTAAGGTAGGCACTTGAAGTCCTGGAGAACAGCTAGTTTCTGGCTAGAAACAGAGGGCGGCATCTGCTTGGTCTGCCTCTAGCCTGAGGACTGTCTTATGAACACCAGTTTAGGCTGCTCAGTGACTGCTTATGGCTGTTTATATGCCCTGGCTTGTGTTGATTGACTTGTTTGGCTTAGTTCTGAACTACCTCAAAGCAGGTCTTGGGAGAGGCACCATCAGTCAATAAAGGTACTTAAGGCCCCCGACGTCCATCCCACAAAGCGCCGTGTCAACAAGTCCCTTAAAAAAAAACACAACCCAAAAGTTGTTCCTCCCTGTGCGTTAGCAACTGGGCGGAGACATTCCCCCTAAGCTGTGGAGTCCTGTGAGCAAAAATTCTACTCTGTGAGCTACTGGCATTAAAGTTGTGAGCGAGTGATTTGGCTACTGCATCAATTCGTTTGCTCTGGAGCCCCATCCTTCCTGAGCAAAGAGAAAAATGTGTGAGCCGGAGGCTAAAAACCTGTGAGCTAGCTCACACCAACTCAACTTAGAGGGAACACTGGCGCCGGAGAGGCCAGCCAGTACAACCCTGGGGGCTAGATTTGATTCCTAATCTAAGGGCTGTGAGTGGAGGAAGAACTAAGCAGAACCTGGTTCTAACCATGTGACAGAGAGGTCCAGGCTTGTTGGTGACCTAACTGCTTCCCAGCAGGTCAGACGTCGCTCCCGTCGACATTGCTCCAGTCCATTTCCCCTTCCTGGCTCCCTTCTGATATTGAAGCTAAGAATGGAGAAAAACATAACCAGGGGAATGCGCCTTTTGTGAGGACACCCCCACCCCCACCCATCCCCGCTGCTGCTGCACATGTAAATGAGTCAGATGCCCAAATGACAGCCTCATCTCGTCTACCTCGTCCTGGCATGCAACCAGCATGCACTTCTTCTTCATGGTATGGACATTCTGTGGTGGCTTAGAGAGAAGGTGAACATCGGAGTCTATCATTGGCCAAATGAGATGGAACGTAAACAGCCTTTGTCTCCAGTTAACTTCATTCAACACTGATAAAAGGATACAAGGAAACACGACCAAGTGTTCAGTCGCAAATGGGTGTAAACTATTAAGGTTCCCGAGTATTACTCGGATGGCCTCCTGAAATAGGTAAAGGAAGGGCTGAAACGTCATTACTCTAATCTTTAAAACACATAACAAATTAACCTCATTAAAGTTCCTTCTGTAATTGTTCTTCTCTTGTTTTATTAAGCGTAACATCCAAATCTCCAAATACTGTTCTTACGAATGGCTAAAATAATCCTTTAACACACATCAGCGTTTCAGCAACTTCTTGTACAGCATTATACTGTAACACTACCTAAATCTTGAGACATTGCTCAGTAAAAGAAAGGCAACAATCAAGAGATATTATCCTTCTTCCTGGTTTTGCACATGACTATGGATTCTTCCACAAAGAAGGACGGTTTGGGAGGGGGAATATTTTTGTGCACTCATTCAGGAGTGGCTAAAATAATCCTTTAACACACATCAGCGTTTCAGCAACTTCTTGTACAGCATTATACTGTAACACTACCTAAATCTTGAGACATTGCTCAGTAAAAGAAAGGCAACAATCAAGAGATATTATCCTTCTTCCTGGTTTTGCACATGACTATGGATTCTTCCACAAAGAAGGACAGTTTGGTAGGGGGAATATTTTTGTGCACTCATTCAGAACTTCAGACCCACAAGCCGCTCAGCAACCTTGCTGCCACACTGATCCTGCCAGCAGACACATGGTGTAGAGAATTCAAGAGCAAGATCACCATCATTCACTTTAAAAAGCCACCTCAACTCTTGTGCAACACAAGATGCTTTAGCAGCTATTATATTCCGCCCTCCCCGCATAGGCAGGCTCAGGGCAGTTTACAACAAATTAAAATGCAATACAATAAATACAATAAAACATAGCTGCATTAAACATGCAATTATGTGAGATTTGTAACTATTTAGTAAAACCAGAAACTTATGTTGTTTTCCCAAGGCACGGAGGATGAAAGCTAAATTTCACATTTACCACACTAAAATTTTTCATACATCGGCAGCAGGA